TTTTTTTCAGTTTTTTTCTTGTAGCTCGAAAACAGTACATCCTACGAAAAATTTATTCTATTTAATATTGAAAGCGTCAAATAAGTATCTAAAACTTAAAAATTCGGTTCAGATGTATTGGCGAAATGAAAAATTAGAAACCGGAAAAAGTTCTCTTTCACCTGCTTGGTCGAACTCGGATAACATATATTTAGGATCAAATGAAGGCATTAAAATGATATCTAGCTTGCTGGAAATTACTATGCATATAGTGGTCAATTACTATGCACGAAATATCACTAAACTAAACAAAATACAATGCAGTCTAAAACCTTACGTATGTGGCTAAAAAGTCACGGAGCGGTTTTTTCGCGCACCCGGTGCCGGGCGGCCGCAGAGCTGTATCATTTTAAAACTCACGAGACCGCAGTTTTCTGCGGTCTCGTGAGTGCTGCAGGTGATCGGGTCCCGCGCGCTCTGCGGACCCAAATCGCGTCGTGAGATTTGCCTTTGTGTTTTCCCTGCAATTTCACATTCTACGCGAGTTGCGGTAACGCAGCCGCAGAGGGCGTGGGAGAAAATTGCGCCGTGAGTTTTTAGCCTGTAGCTTTCATTGCTAAGGCAATACGAATAATAAAAGAGAGAAAACTAGTAACAAAACTCTCGGTAAGGAGTAACAATTACATATAATACATTAACTCTACAATCTTGCTAAGATAAGAAATATTGGAAGTTTCACTTACCGACCTAATAAACAAGAGCTTCAAGCCCACAATAAATATATTTCAAATATTATATAAAGTACATTATTAAAAACTTATATGGTAACAAACATCTCAAAATATGGAAATATTGGCACAAATTCATTACAAAAGTAATTACACGCTGTTTATACACTTAGCTTGGTACAAAATTAATTTGCAGCTTCGTACTAACACGAATGTGCGGATAGACGGAATTCGAAATACATTTTAATGTAAGTGGGTGCTCGTTAAAATTATGAAAAAGTCAATAAAAAAATTTTGAAAGAAGATAAAATAGGTATTATCACCAATTTCAATACTACATAAAATCAACATTTTGATAAAATCAAAGGACCATGGGGTATTTTGTATAGACCCCATCCCCACCCTACAAAAGACATGCATGCGGATTTGTTCATTCTTCCTAACAAAGCACTTTTTTAGTACGGAAATCAATGGGATCTAATATAAGTAAAAAATAATCATTATTCTGACGATGCAGACTTGAAAGGGCTGCGAAACGTCAATAAATAAATAAATTTCGTGCATTAACCCGTTAAAACTATTTAATGAGTGATGTGCGTGAAAAATGTGAAAAGAAACAAATAAAAAAAAATTTGGGGAAAAATGTGTTTTTTTTTTCATACTATAATATATATTTTTTTAAAAAAAATGGTCTCAAACTGCAAAAAAATTGACTTACAAAATTAAATACAATGTTTACTTAATGTTCGTTTTTAACCAACTTCAAAAAGGAGGAGGTTCTCAATTCGTCATTACATGTTTTTTTACAGTTGTTCGCGCATCTCCCCGAGATGCGGGGACCGACTTTGATGATTATTTTTTTGTTTAAATCAGTTTTTTTGCGAAATAGTCCCGTATTAATTTGGTGAGGATCTGATCAGTACTTTCGGAGAAAATAATGGACTCCTCAATTACAAACAGTTCTGAATTCGTTGGTTATTTTAAGAGATATGAAAGAGATAATGCAGGCCAGGTACCAAGTACTTACTAAGTTGATCTTGCTCTGGCTTATAAAAAGTGTAAAATAAAAACTCTTTAAAGAAAAATACAAACCAACTTCATAAAAACAACTTAAACCACTTAAAAGACGAAATGATGCATATTCTTTACTTATTATAATTTACATATTATTATTGAAGTTGGTGCCATGCGTATTGATACATCTGATTTGCCATTTACTGTTTGGGTTGGTTTGGAATTTGCATTTGGATTTTTCAGGTTCTATTTAACTCATTTTACATAAATTTTGAATAATTATTTTTGTGATGGATAGGGCATTTATGGAGGTCGGTTATAAGCTATATAACATAAAGATACAAAGCGGAGCAACAATGAAAAATGTTGCAAATACGGGAAAAAAAAATCCATTTGAGAGCTTCCGTTGCGTTCGCTGCCTAAAACGGGAAAAGTTATAAAAAAATCAGGTATGACGGAATTGTTCTCCTTTAAAAGTTCTATAAAAAAGTCCACGACTTCATTTGTCTATCTTTTAAGGTTGACATACTATAACCTATTTTCTCAAATTAATTCTAGTATTAATAAAACCTAAACCCCATATATTTGAAGTACGTCGCCATAGTAAAAAATATCTATCCTACTAAACACTTTGAATGACACTTGTTTCAAATCTTATGAGGGGTGGGGACGTTTCTTCCCAAATTCCTTTCGACTACAATTGATGTCAACTTCAACTGCTTAGCGTAAAAAATAATGAAACATATTTATGATAATATGCAGAAGAATATGCATGCACCCACAAATATTCTATAGCCAAATTTTTATGCAGTCGAAATCGGTCATCTACCGCATGCATTGTTTATTAAGAGATTCTACATTTTATAACAAATTGAAAGAACAATAATAATAATATTATCTATGCGCACAAGCTAATAACATAGTGGAATAAACTACATACATTTAGTAACACCGATATATGACTATATGGACACCAAAAAGTTGTAAAACCTGAAGTTAAGGTAAACATACGCTGGGGAAATTATTCATTATACTTTTTGCTGTCCCAAACATGGAAAAAGTAAATAAGATATATATATATGTATATAGGTGACTTTCCATGAAGCTTTGAGAGCTTATTCTCACATGTTATTTACAAAATAAAGTTTGTAGGACGGTATTTCACGGTTGTTATGTTTTTCTTGTTAGCAACACCATAAAGGCTTTGTGTTTTTTATAGTAAAGACTTTCCCCGGTTTTGTATGGATGCTATACCTCATGGTAAGTAGTATATTATTATAGCTTATGTCGATCCTGAAGGAATATCCCAAATATTAATGAAAGAATTTTTGATATCGCAGTATTAATTTCGGAGATTGCCTACTAAATCCAAACTACCTAATTTTTAATATTACTGTACTTGAATATTATGTCATAGGATGATTTGATAAATCGAATTTTCGCAAAATCCTGGGGATTTTGTGAGAAAGCGGATAATTAGACAATGGCAATGACATTTCTGTCTTACTGAAAAAAGGACTTTTGTAAAAATACAAGTCGTCCAAGTAAGATTGTGGAAATAATTATTGGCTTAAATATTTTTGGGTTCTTGGGTTCACACTAGGTTAGGTTAAGTTAGTGTTGTGACCATGAAGCGCAAGCCGAGCGAGCGTAGCGAGCGGGCCACGGCAGCGGTCGCCGAAGCGCCAGAAAAAATATCGTTAACAGTAAGATTAAGCAACGTCATCGCCATTAGATATCTAATAATCCGTGTTTTCGCAAAATTCCTAGGATTTCCGCGTAAATTCGATTTTTCATATCATCCTGCAACAGATATAGATGTACGGAACTAACTCTCCATTACATCTAGATCAGCTCTTGTAGGTATAGAAAGCCACCTCTAAATAATAACTACTTCTTAATCCTGCTTATATATCTATCAAACTGTTAGCGTATTATAAAATCACATATTTCCAAATCAATGTTTTCAATACTAACTACAAGTTCTTACGGCCGACAGAACTCACTAATGACTGCGCAACATCCAATAGTATATTAGTTTTCATACAAATTGTACAGTTAAGTGAGCAAGTTATGAAAAAATCAATAATCATTCCGCTGACATTAGTAGGATCTGTGGGGCGTCCTATGTCGCGTAATGCAAATTGCGACGATCATTACATTTATATACTGTAGATATTGTGTACTTTTGGGTACAAATACTTCAGTCTAGTATGCTAGAACGTATCATTAATTAGCTAATGTTTGACCCTGTGTCAGTCGTGGACTGCGACCGGGGCGCGCGCGGCTATTCCCGGGATCAATTTCTATCTACGAGATTTAGAATCTACGCTCTACGCACGTAGTAGACTAGGCACCGCCTAACTAAAAATCGCCGAATAATCGGCACTACGCTATTCACTTACAAGACGAAGTATTATACTTATTTAGAAATTTTGGCAGTTACGGTTCTGTGTATGGGCGAAGACTAAGTAGGGTTCATATAAACTACGAGGACACGCTACAATGTAGTACCAAAAGTTATCAGTGCCTAAGTACTCATTGAGATTTCGAAGCTGTCTGTTGAACTATTTCATAAAAGTACTCATTTAATATTAAAGCGTAGATCTTAGATTCACTAAACTATTAATTTAAACACTGACTGAATTGAGAAACTAAATTCGTTCCGATTTTCGGAGCGACTAAGGCGAGTGACTTTAGGCGGTTATCACACTGCTCTGCATCATTTTGAAGAATTATGCATCGTCAACATGTTACATATAAACTGAGTATCGATGAATTGTGAACGCCGTGTCCTTGCCCTATCCTACCGCATTAAAAACTATGTAAATAAAAATTTTATTAAGATGGATGACGATTACAAATACATTTTGTCAAGTTTCCGAGTCGCTGAAACACTTTGCATCATCGAATGGCGCGGAGTAATATGAAGACCGGCTAAATGTATAGAGGCGCTCGCGTGCGGACGTGGAGCTCGACGAGGATGGGCGCAAGTTGGTCCACGTTGAAACAGTCGCACAGACCGTCGATCGAACCACGGTTCGATAAGTATTTCAACAGACTGGCGACATGACCTTAATCGTTCAGTCCACTCTCAGACCAATCCATTCACGATCGAACTTATCGCATATGACCGGAGTTCGTGCGGCCGTTGTAACGTGTCTGGCCCTTCTAAGCCGGGAGAGAGCGACGCACGGTGCATGGGGCGCGCGGGAAGGCACGAGGGGGGGCGCGGCGGCGACTGCGGCGCGGCGCGCGGGCCGACGCCGCCCCCCGCAGTCAGAGCGGGAAGCAGCGCGCTGACCGCCGCGGCGGCTCGCTGGCCCCGCGCCGTCGCCCGCTCGACCGCATACTACTAGCGTCTCCCTCACTGCCTCCGCCACACAACCGCTCCGGCTCGATCGGCTCCAACTTGTGCATCGACGGCCGACTAGATAGTCTTATGCTCTCCGCCGGAGTCGACGCAGCCCGCTCCGATGGCATGTCATCGTCCAAATCTATCCGACCGAGTGATAATGCTAGGGCGTACTCGGTGCGTTCGATGACGCTCGGCACTTCCTCTTCTATTACTGTTGTATCAGCGAGAGTTGAGTCGGCAGCCGCGGAATCGGCTCTCGGTGAGTCTATCGCCACGGCTAGCCTTCGAGTGTCGACCGATGATGGCGACGACGCCTCTTGTGGGATACGTCGTTCGGGTGTAGTGAAAACGGAATCTGACACCCAGCTGCTAGATTCGGAATTTTGCCGTAGAGTATCGTCAGCGCTGCGCTGGGAGGTTCTGCGACTCGTATACGGGCTTTCATCATCTATAGCACGGAAGTCGAGTGAGCTCAGGTCGAAATTGCCTCTTCGTCTCGACCCGTCGCGCCGGAAGGACGGTCGGTGCGATGAAAATGCAGCATCATAAAGTTCGCATAAACTCGTGCGATCCGAATGTGGTTCTTCGTAGAGCGTCAGGTTTCGAGTCTCGGTTGCATCGGAAGGGGTCTCGTCTCGATTCGACGTTACCTCACTGCGTTCTGATATATCGAATGTAAAGCGTGCTTCAAAACGGTCGGGACTGAGCAGTGGTGCCGAACGAGAGCAATCATCCGGAAGTACCTCGGAGTCGACTGGTATCGGTCGAGGAGCTGATCGTCGCGGTGATAATTCCTCGGAGTCTGTTGAGCGATCAGATCGCGCTGTATGGCATGCATGTCGCCGAGTCAGAGCTGGCTGTGATCCACATGGAATACGCCGGCAACATGTGCGTTCATGTCTTACATCCGATCCACTACTACCAGTCGATTTCGAGTGCGGTGGTCGACGACGTCGATCGTCGTCACGTCCGTATAGAGACGTGAAATCCTCTGAGCAGAATTTTTCAAAAAGTTCTTGGGAACTTAACCTAGTCGAACCCGTTGCATTATAAAATGCCTCAGTCGGTGAGCGATCGGTTCGCTCGTAGAGCGCACTAGAACTTGCGCGTTTAGACTTATCCATTAAACCAAATTTATAGATCCTCGGTAACCGGCGCTCAAAAACACCTTGAGAGTGGGCACGGAAAGGCGCACGAGGCGCAAGCGAGCCCTCACGGCGGTCTGTGAGCGCCCGGTCCGAGGAAACGGGCCGAGGGTCCGGCGGCGCCGGCTCCAAGGACGGTGGTGAGGCGGCGAGCTCCGGTTCGTGATCAGTGTCGTCGGCCGTTTCGGCAGAGGGGCCCGAACGTTCAAGCGAGCGGCGGACACAATCGCACTCCTCGTGCTCATCGCTGGCGTCGCCTTCGTCGAAGGAAGGCGCGCGGGGACCGTGGACGAAAACGCGGCGGCGCTCCTCAGCGGCAGCGTCGTCGTCCTCGAGCCGAATAGAGCGACGAAGTGGAGGGCGATCGCGGCGGGGGCGGCGGGGCGCTTCAACGGTGGCGGCATGTGGTATTGGAGGGCGCACAGCAGCTGGTAGTAACCTATCGAGAGACAGCCCACGTCGTGGGCGCGCTGGCCTACCGCCAATACCCGTGCCCGTACCCGCTGCCCGTCGGCCGTCGCGCGGTATCGCAGATGGACTCGTCTCCTCTGGGGTAGTAGGAAGAGCAGCACCACGGCCGAATTCGATGAACCAGAGCTCGTCCTTTAATTCGCACTCTCACTTCTTTTCGTTCATATCTTTGTTTAAGTAGTGCAACACGTAGTGGAGCACAAGATCATAGCAGTATTTGTATTCAGTCTGAAAATAGAAATTTCAAGTTACATAATTTTTTGTAATTACCATAATTAATATAGAATTAAGCTTATGATATTCATACGATAATATCTTAACAAACCATGTTTTCCACAAGTTGAGGTCGATGTCGCCGCACGGTCTTTACGGCCTGGAATACGTCGACCTCACCATGTTGTATGACTTGTTCGATACAAGCGTTCGCTGCGCAATAAACACCAGCACGACTTCGACCGTCCCTGTAACAAAATAAATAAATAGACAAGTTATTCACCCACAGTAATCCAGAGAACTTTGCCAATAAGAGCTTAGGCTAAATATAACAAAGTAAGAAGCAGGAACTTTATTAGGTTTTAGTTAGAAACTACACGTTTCGGATCTACTTCTAAGTAGATAAGTGCATTAGTAATAATGGATGTACCTAGAGATCACAGAAAACGTATGTGATTTGAAGGATATCGAAAGGAGAATCTGTATTACGAATAGTACACCACAGTATTATTGTTCAATAAGTTTACAAAATCTAAAGTGACAGGGGATTGACCCTTACAAGAATGATGATAGTAGTTGGTCCTTTATGCCATATATATCCACGACAGACCATTCTTACGGGCGGCGGCGGCGTGACAAATGGGAAGCTTTAGAAAAACGGCACGAACTCGTAGTAAATGGAATCAGATAAGAATCTTGCTGACAGTCTCACGTCTAACGTCTGGTCTAGATATTATTTTTAATAAAATATGATGAACAAATCACCCCACATATCAAAAATGGATTTTAAACGCCTGCCATCCTAATCTTGCAATCTTGCAACATGCTTCTTATCGTCTTTCTAAGAAGGTTGTAAGAAGGACATACTCGGATGCACAGGAGAATGATTCTAAGAAAGGATTCATCGAGTTACCTTGTTTGCGTGGCAACGTAGGCCACGCGTGTGTGACCCTCTATCTATATGGTAAGGCGTCCATTAGACGATAGGTTTTGCTTTTTTAAACAAAATCTGCAAACTAATAGGGTGACTGGTGGGTGGCCATTTAGTCATCATTCGTTTTTTATAATTCATGATTGATAAAAATGACTGCCAGCTCCATGAGCGTCTATTGGACGCCTCATCGTTGTTATATGCATAGACTTAAGCTAAGAACTCACGGAGCGATTTATTCCCGTACCCGCCGCGGTTGGCCGCTGGGCTATTTTATTTCAAAACTCACGACACTATCGAGCGAAGCCCACCGCGTCTGCGGCTAAACGCGTCCACCGGCCGCCCACCCGCCCGCAGCGGGTGCCGCAAACAACCGTGCGTTCTGCAGGCGTAAATCGCGCGGTGATAGCTTTTGCGATTTACCTACAATTTGTCAATCTACGCGAGTTGCGGTCCCGCAACCGCGACAGGCGCGGGAAAATCGCGCTGTAAATTTTCAGCCTTAAGAGCACAGGCAAATAATTCAAAGGAAATATTCACCTATTTCCGTGTTCGCGTTGAAATTGTGGCCATATCAAGTTGGTGGCAGCGTAGACTAGACTAGCGTGACCCTCTACGAAGTAAAGGAGGTGTGATCAGGCAAATTACTTACGGCGACACGACGCAAACAGGTCCGTAGTCAGTGCGCTGTCGCCACCGTTCAACCATGTTCATTAGTTCCACCAGTGAGTTGGTGGAGGATGGCACTTTATGTCCCATTGGCCAACACGTCAGTTGGAACAGCTGGACTGTCTTCGGCGGTGCTTTCACTCCAGCCATTAATTCCGTTAGCGAGACAATCTAGTCAAAAGGTAATAAATAAATAACAAACTAAAATAGTACCAGAAATAATATGTACCTACTTAAATTTGTGTTTATCACACAAAGAAATGCCAGAATTCGAACCCAGGATTTTAAGAGACAAGATCAACCTGGACTACTTAGTAGATTGTAATTTAGCATTATCAAGCACGATCATTCTTTTTGAATCAGGAAATCGGATCATTTCGTAATCTGGGCTTAGTATCATATAACTGGTTTTTATTAGTGGACTTTTCAATTGTGTAACTGCGAGAAAGAAATTTTAGCAAGAAGTTGGCGAACAAAGTAATACATTGGTTCAAAGCTCATTGAACTGAGAAATCAAACGAGAAAAAATATGACGTTTATCATACGAACCTTTTTGTTGATCCTGAATATCCATGTCTTTATGTTTGTGTAGTGATTGTGGGAGACGTGATCTATCGTGAACACTGGTCCATATTTCTTAGAATGCCGACCCTCGGGCCAGAAAGGAGGAAATTGTTGCTAAAACAATAATGAAAGATAATGAATAGAATGTTTTGGACTAATTTTATTTTCTATTTGTATATGAGTAATTCTTACTATTTATTTCTTTTTGTGGGAAATCGTTTTATAAATCATGTTTTATAATGATTTCAGCAATACAATCACTTTTTTTTATATTACTAGTCTATATAACTGTATTCTACTATTGTTAACATTTCGATCTTTGATTTCAAAATAAAATACACATGATTTATCCTTAGCATATTACCAGAAACTTGTCTAATAACAGTTTTATATTCATAAAATGTTTGGTTACCAATACAAGACGTCTCCCGAGCGCGGTCAGCAGATACACAGTCATTTATTATTAGCCAAAATTTTACTAAGGCTGCGTTGTTTCATCTATAATTAAAATTGACTATGGTTAAATCTTATGGGGAAAAATAACCATTTGTCAAAATTTTACATTTTTACTATGTATTTGACGTGACATTAACTATAGTCAAATTTTAATATCGATGAAACAACGCGGCCTTAGGCTCAGTTAAAGAAATATTAAAAATATAAAATCGGGACGGATTTTATATTTTTCTTCCTTAATAGTTTTAATGTTTGCATGAATTAAATGGTATGATCAAATAATGAGTAAGTATAATGCTGGACTTCTTCTCACCGAGTTTTTAGGAGGAACACATAGTACAACCACAGCTGCACATTCATAGTCGTACACTAATGACCAGAATTCTCCTTGTGTTCTTATCAAAGGCCACTCTGTTACGATATATTCTCGAGGTTTTGTATAACCCTGTGATTGAAAGATACAAATTGTAACATTTCTAAACGAATAGGTCCTCAAATGAAATTATTTTTTTTTGGAAGATTTTGATACTCACGTCTACGAAAACTGCGTTGATGTAGTCGGTAAAACTATTTCCTTGGAAAGACGTCAAGTATGGTCGAAAATTATCAGCTGTAAAACATTAAGGATTTGAATTATGAAATTAGAATTGTGTTAATTTGTTAATCGAATCTAGAATTATAAGCATGTTGAAGTGTGGTGTCAAGTTTTGTCTGAATTTGTTGAAGAGACAATAATACCTATTATTAGTATTACTATTTGGCTACTTAAAGTAACTATATAAACTAAAGGAATTTATAATAATACGTCTATCAGATAACATAATAATATCATCGTGCCTGAAGTATTAGATTGTTAAGTAGTCAGAAAATCTATAATAAATGGCCTTTTTAAGTTTTATCCACTTAGTTTGCTTGCACTCATGAAGTTATATATAGCTATGATTTCACACGACCTAATAAATAAATCTATAGTCGTAGCTAGAGATCATAAAGTAATATCGAGTTTCTATAAATCCCTAATTAATTTTACTGTGGATTCGAGGATGAATAAAATATTCCTGGAAGTGATCCAGAGCTCATGGTTTAATTACATAATAGCTTTTGGTAGTTGTTATATAGAGTAGCATTAGCAGCGGCTATGTGCGACCACAATTACTTATTGAGCTTTAAACGTAGTAACTGTAATTAATCATTAAAAATTAATAGGGATGAAGACTATTTTTTTTCTTCGTCTATCAGGTAGATTACCAAAAAGTATTGGACAAGTATTATGTCTTTATTCACAATATTAAAAAAAAAACAGAGATATATTGATTTTGAAATGTCGCATGACGTTATGTACTGGTACAATTTTACTTAGAGGTGACGTCCCGAGACCCCACTCCCAAAGTTTGACGCGCTTTATTTTTGTCATTTTTTGGTTGATTGACAAAAGATTTGATAATCTAACTGACATACTAAAAATAATTTCTTTTACTTTCCCCCCTCTACATCCATCCATATTCTATGCCGAAGGCATGTGTCCAAATTTTTTTTATTTAAAGTTAATTAAAGTCTAGTCTAGTATGTACTTCCGCACTTTCCTCATTCTTATCAAATGTGTCAATGACCCTTATATTTTCCTCAAAGTTGATCCTTAAACTTAAAAATTTTACAATTGATACTTAAATACAGTAAAGAACTTGCGGTAATAAACTTCATAGACAAAGTAATTTGATGGCTTCTTTAGCTAAGTGGGTTAACAAGCAAGCTAAGACACCGAATGTAAGCGATTTTAGTCTTTAAGGGAATACTATATTTTCCTTACGTGGAACAACTAGGACGTCTCTGTTCTTTTCCCTGTTGTCACCTCTATGACCTCCTGCGCAGTCTCCGATTGTAAACCTTGGTGTCTGCTTACAAATTTGTTGGTATTCCTTTTGGTACTCATTAAGTTTAGAAACGGGGTCCCTTTGTGATTTCTGCTTCAGTCTTTGAGATAGTTCCGAAACGGGGAACCAGGATATTCCGCAAACGACATGCTCCTCTAACGTATCGTACACGAATTTGTATTGTTCCTTAAAGAAAAAGAATAATATTATAAGAATGAATTAACTATTTGAACACTTGTATATTTTAATTGCAATGGCGTACTTTATATACGCCGTTGCGTTCTTCTATCAGCCGTACACAGACACGACAAATAAATTTAAAGTCACATGTTGTTATACTATATTGTTAAAGCAAATGAAGTGACAGCAATAACTTCAATCAAACGTGAAAGTTATTTAACGCTTCTGAGTAAGTATTGTGATTTGCAGTTTTGGATTATTTATCGGAGTGATATTTAGATATTTATTTCTCATGTGTTATTATTTGATTTGAAGATTACTTTTACTTGTCATTAATATATAATCTCAACACTTTGGCCAAGATTTCATTTCATATACAATATGTTACGTTTGGGATTTAAGTATGTCTCAATATTGTCAAAGTTTCTCACTTCATTTTCTATAAGGCCTTTTCTAGATTGTCGAAGTTTCTTCAAATATCCGAAAACATCAAAACAGTCTTCTTCTTCCGCCAACTCTAGGTTTGCATCAATAGCTAAGTATACCCCTGACCGCCCTCCGCCATCACTGAAATAAAATACACAATTAACTACCTACCTCTGTGTTGTACAATACAGAATTTAATATTTGTAAACGTTTAATTGTAATTGAGTGAGACTGTGATTTTAATTCTACTATCGGTATTATTTTTAAAATGATGGGTGTAAATATTTTAAACACATTAGTGATGTCAATTCTGGCATGCTTTTCTAAACTTAAGCCTAAATTTCATATCAGTCTCCCCTTTTCATTCTGTATACAGGCTGACAAGGATACACTGCTATCAAAATTAAGTTTAGGTTTAGATAATCATGCCAGAATCGACACCACTATAGAACTAAATATCACAATTTATGCTGGCAACTATTTTATTCATTATCCTTAGGATGACAGCTATACCATAAGGTAAGGTAGTGTTTTCTCTTTTCCCATCGATTAACAAATGTCGTTTGACCGTGACAAAACTATGATTATACTTTTTTTTATCAATAAGGGATCTATTTACTTGAGCTCAATTATCGATTGAGACTTTCCAATTTATGTTTCTGATTTCCGTAACCCAATCTATTTTTGAATCAACATATTAAATTTTAGTGTACTTACATCTAAATGCTTACTTACTTGCAATGTACGACCATTGGACCTGAAGCTGGATTGGTCGCTAATCTTCGTCCTACGACTGCACGCACGCGTCTCCTAAACTCTAGTAGTGCGTTACTGAACGGACATGTATGTGAGTGCCACTGAGTGTAATGGAACTGGAGAATATACCTTTCTTCTACCACAATCTGAAAATGGGAGAAAATTAGGAAAGGAACCAATATCTGTAAAAACGAACTTTATTCTCGATTACAAATCCTTATTCAAGCGCGAGAAAGCACCACTTTTCGGAGAAATTTTACAAAAACCTTATCGTTTGATGTTAATATTACAATTTGATTTCAAATCACAAAATACTAAAATTAGAAGAACCTTTTACCATCCCGTTTTAATGAAATTTAGCAAATTCCGCAGTATTAAAGGGTGACCATGAATCTTTTTAATGCCTCCGTTGTAAAATAAAATAAAGTAAAAATATTAAATGGGACTCGGTCTCTCATACAAGAAACATGATATTTTGGCGAGTTCGACTCGGATCTGGGCGTTTTTTTTTCACCTTAGCTCGTTTGGAACGACAATATGAATTATTCGACTGTAAATACTGTCGTGACTTTAAAAACACATATGTAAGCTTTAAGGAAAATACTTTGGGGTACTCATGAGTCATGTCAGATCACCAGCCCCTAGTCGCCTAACGTTTTATTATTTTCAGTACCTACTAAATGCAATCTGGCCACTGCCCGAGGTAAGACGAAGCAGAGGGACTGCACCTTGATTGGGTACACGGAAGCATGAATCTTTTTAATAGTGAAAAAGAGTCATGGTTCCGTGTACCCACTTGCACTCCGCACGCGTGTTCGTTTGCACGAAAGTGGTCGACACTGATTGAATAATTTCCTGTGGGATTATTTATCTGCTTTATTAATCAGATGTGTTGCCAGGTATATTTGTCTATCATTAAGCGTTCAGGGGCTGTGCAGTCAGTGCGTTAGATATTCCAACAATCTTCATAAAGGATCGATTCTTCTCTCTATACAAGTCTGCCCAATTTTGTACCTCTAGCATTAACATGCATGTGTAGAATAATACGCCGAATTCATCAAAAATATAAATGGAGTTTATTATCCACTTTTACCACTTTTCAAACATTTAAATGAATGGCAACACAGATAATATAGTATGGTAAATGTGCATCTTGAAGTTATTAGCAATTAGCTCCGGGAATCACGTGATTTTTTATACAGCCAAACATAATCAAGATTTCTTTGATTGAAATCGTATTAGCTACTTCTATTTAACGCAGATTCCCTATTTTAATTCAGCAATTTTTATTGAATTTATTGAGATATTTTGATGAGTGAGATTTTTAAAGTATAATTTTAGATGTTTTTGAGATAATTTGTGCCAAAGTACAAAATTGGGCAAAAATAGAATTTTTCCCTTTTAGTGATTTTCTTAATCAATCAGTAGCAACATAATAGGCGTCTGTTTTGCTATCTTTACTGTATTTTTACTCACATCTTTCTCTGTCTTGTATAGTCGAAAGGTCCGTATGTGAAAATTGGCCAGTTCCTCTTCTTGAACGATCCCTACACTAATGTCACCGTAGGATTCGTCCTTTTCTTTGTTGGGAGGCCAATACTGAACACACATTACCTGTCGAAGAAAAATATAATGGAAATTCAGTGTGCACGAGTAAATCCGCAAATCCGGTAAAATCTCGAGTTTTCGATAAACTTATAGTGAAAGTAACTACGTCTACTTTAAAAATAGAAAAACTTATAAGAAGTATAATATTTTAACGGTTATACCCATGCCATGCCATAGCCATGAAATCCGACTAATCTAACAATTTATAGTTATTATTTCATGTTAGATTCATAATTAGATTTGAAAATAAAATTTACATAGTAAATTTTAGAATAAATCTAATTTAAATATTTCCAGAAAATTTTGAGTTATTTCCCTTTCTATCCCCTGCAACAGATCCGTCAACATTTTTTAATTCCTACTGATTCCTTTGTACTTTGCAACTTCCACCGGATCCCCTCACTGTATCGCTATCAATATCATTTCTAATATACGCCTTATTATTATTATTGTCTATTATATGTATTTGGATTGGTTTCAAGCTAAAGCCTACAACGACTAAAACTGATCCTCCACTTTACCATCAAAGGCCGGTACATCGGAAAATAAGTGGTAAATTCATGGTGAAAATCGCTTGATAATTCGTTCAGTAATTTCTGAGAACATCTTGGTAATTTAAAGACAAACAGATGCGGCGGGAAATTGAGTTTTATAAATTACTAGTTGTGCCCCGCGGTGTTACCCGCGGTTTATTAGGAATATTTTTCCCGCAGTAAAACATACGTAGCCTATGTGTTATGTTATGTTTTTATTTAGGGTGTCAGCTAACTCCATTCCAAATTTTATTAAAATCGCTACAGCCGTTTAGACGTGAAGAAGTAACAAACATACACACTCACACACTCAAAAACTTTCGCCTTTATAATATTAGTGTGATGTGAATAAGCATGAGTGTCACTGTCGTGATACCGACTTTGTGACATGAATATTGTATTCCATACAAGCTGCTTGCGTCCTATTTGTAAATTTTATTTCTCCGTATATTTTTCTGAGTGTCGGCAAATGTAACGGAAAATATTTTTCAAATCTTCTCCCCGGAACCCATTGAACCGCGAAGTTATTCGCCATCAAACCTCCAGGCAACGGCACGGGTAGGTGCGAAATTACTTTTGAAGTTACATAATATTCCAAATTATAGGTGTAGAATTTGATGGTATTGCTTGATGAATTGACGATGAAAAAAAAACTGTTTTTCTGACTTTTATCATGTCACATTAATATTATTTATATAAATTTTTCGTTTAGATTCAAAAATAAATAAGTCTAGCGTATTATAAACATTACATCGAATTCGAATAATTTGCGAGTGCGAAATGTCATTGTCAAATTATGTATGGAAACTTGATAAGTTCACGTTTGCACTACTGTTCAAGTTTGCATTCAAAATTTAACAATGACACTTCGCACTCGCAAACTATTGGAATTCGATATTGGTTCATGCTAGGGATACAGTAAATAAATAAAATAAATAAATAAATATTTCCAACACTCACACTAATTAGCCTAGCCCCAAAGTAAGCACTGTAAGGCTTGTGTAATGGGATACTAGGGTAATGGATAGAATACATAAGCATATTTATATAGAAATACATATTAAACATCCATGACTGGAGTACAAATGCTCGTATTCATCACACAAACATCTGCCCGCACCGGGATTCGAACCGGATTTCGACCTCTCGAGTCGGCTACACCATGAAACCCGGCGTACAAAGCACTCGGCCACAGAAGTCGTAAATAAAATTTATTAGGTAATTTACTTTTACTACTTTGATCTTTCATTATAATGAACTAATAATGTAGACACCGCTGTTCAGAGATCCATCCGTCCATCAATTCATGAAAATATTTTATAATAAAATATTTTTTGCCTTTCTATCTAACCGTAAGACAGGTGTTAACCAACCATAAATGGTTGGTAAATGACATGTGTAATTATCATATCTTAATTCCATAAGGTTTATACCTTGATGAAATCGAAGGTTTTGGTGAGCATTACAATAGCGGCTGCCCTCTCTTGCCAGATCATCCGCCAGAAACTGACTACTGTGTCCTCTGTCGGGCCTTGCGTCACTATGTATGCGTTGGGTTTTAAAACACTCTGTGGACAAGGAAAGATTATTTCGCTTATATACATTTCTTTCGACTATTTCTACTGCAATAAAAATGTTTTTGTGGTAACACACGTATTGTAAGTAAGATACTAAAAGTTGTCACAATGGAGAGCTTTGTAAACATCCTTGTATTTTCTTCAAAAACAATCATAAATAAATTTTGTAGAAACTTGGAAAGTGAGATACTAAAGCTCCTTATAATTTAAAGCTCTCTCTGTAGTTATCGAAACAAGTTGTTATTCTGCCGTAAATTAGGAATTAGTTACGCGAGTATTGGTAGTTTCATGTAAAAATGTTGGTACTACATTAAGCACATTTTTACGTAAAACTCGACTTATGTAAGATACAGTTAGCTCAAATTAATGAGTTATAGTATATAAGAACTGTATGAGATATAGTAGTAATTCATTGACCTATACCTTCGCCAACAAAATAAAGGTATATTTTGGGTCTTTCTTTGTACGTCGACTAAATGGTTTCAAACATTCACAATGATTTATAACTGTGTAATCCTAATAATTACAGTAGAAGGACAAACTTCTGATAATTTTCTCTGTCACAAACTGGGAAAAGGTTTATCCTCCACACCCTTTCACAATCACATTATGAAAGCGACGTGTTATTCGTTCGATTTAATTCGTGGGTAAGTACTTATTAAAACGTTCGTTTGGAAGTGTAAACTTTTTCCCGGTTTAGGACAAAGTTACTCCCCTGGGTCAAGTTAAGCCGGCCGTGCCGCTGTTTCTTTTACAGGAAAATTTATGAAGGTTATGACGAAATCATTTCATTTTATCACTAATTAGTAATTACAATCAGAAAACGTGTAGCTAAATTAGAAAAATGGATATTTACTGAAGCGAAAAAGAACGCCGTACACATTGATTCCAAAAATATTTAATCAATGTAATTATTTCAATTTAAAACATACAAAGATTTTTTTTTTGCTTATTTTAAAATATCAAATATTCAGGTGGTCGCTGTTATATTTAGTAGGTAGCATTATTTTGTCAAAAAAAATCACAGACTGAGCAAGACCGTCCCCATAAATTATTCCATTCCTTAATTGAATTCAAACAAAATGGAATTAACACAACAAAGAACAATATATTGAAATTACAACAGAAGTTCAAGTTCACGAAATAACGAGGGTCTGATGTCTGAGAGAGAAAACTGCCGGGTAGGTCCGGTCGGTTCACTTCGGTAAATGATCCCTATTATAAGTGAATGGGGTCAATTCTTTGTAACTGGGCACACAACGGTTGGGTACAGAAGTCAATCTACATACAATGTGTGCTCGAGCAACACACATATAAACACCGGTCACGATAGCTCGGATCAGTTGGGACGAGTGCGAGCGCGAGTTCCATCCGCTTGAGACGCGTGTCCGTGAACTTTTTTGTGCAAAAATGGAGCAACAAGAAATGTTCCCTTGTTTCTGTTTTATTCTCAACAATAAATCAAACATCCGGATACGAGTACCATTACCACTATGTTATCGCCAGCAATAAAATATCGGTATTTGACATTGACGTCACATCCGACAGCTGTCACATTGGCGCTAGTGGACTTGGCGCGCGATTTTCCCTCCAACACGTAATTTTCCAACGGTGACAGGTGACTATCGGCTCGGCACTCGGGCCACTTCTTGCGGAGCAGTCGAAGAGTGAAAACGGAATACGGGATTATAATTGTGTATTTCCAATCGTGTGATTTCTGTAAAGGTTTAAGTATAGTGCACATTATTTCTGATTATTATAATATTTATTGATTGATAAATAAACTTGCTGATAGTGATTCTTAGTATGTTAGTGATGTTAAGCAATTGAATTAACTAATATTTAAATAAGTATCATGAAGTTGAAAGTTATGAGATTATTACTTGATGAAATAATTATTACAATTAATGTTAATACTTTGTATGCTGGATATGGGAATGTTTTATAAATAAATGTGTGAATGACGGTACTTTCTTTTATTATCAGAAGTGGGATATCTACACACGCTCTCCAGAGAACATGGCACGTGGTCGGAAGCGTAACCGGACAATCTCGAGCAGTTCATCATCGACGGACAGCAGTTCCAGTTCAAGTTCAGACAGCGGTGCCGAGCGCAGACGCCGAAATCGACGCAAAAGGATTAGGAAGGGATCGCCAACCGTGAGTCAAAATGTCGTATTGTCGTCAGTAATACCCGAGTTCGACCCACTAGTGGATGATGTAGATATGTGGATTAATGTTGTTGAAGCTAATTCACGTGCTTTTGGTTGGTCTGACAGTATGATAAAGTATCAGGCTTTACAGAAATTACGAAATACAGCTAAAACATGGTTAGATTGTCTTCAAAAAAATGAAACTTCATGGACAGTGTGGCGTTGGAAGCACTGGCGTGACACATTAGCTAATACTTTTCAAATCAAACGCAATATGTTTATGCTGCTTAAACAATTAGTAGAGACAAAACCATTTCATAATCAATCTTTATATGAATTTTACTTTCAACAAAAAGGTAAAATTGAGAGATTACAACTAGATTTCAAAGAACGTGATATTATATCAATTATCGTAGGATCAATCGGTGATACAAACATCAGCACAGCGGCTGAAGCAGGTAGTTTTCGGTACTGTGATGATTTGGCATCCTTTCTACATGGCAAAACGTATAAGTGTCCGGAAAAGGGGGTAGTACAAAAAAATATTCCAACATTGAAAACCGTACCTAGGCAGACGTCAGTGGTACATGAAAATAAATGGGAATCGGTTAAAGTAGAACCTTCTAGTAGCAGCTTTGTCAATCTACCAAACAATAATATATCATGCTATCGGTGTGGCGAAATGGGGCATCGTAGAAATCAGTGCAAAATAAAGGATAATGTTCGTTGTTCTGCATGTACAAAACTAGGACATTTAGAAAAGGCTTGCAAATCTAAATCGAAAACTAAATTTGAAACTGATGTAGAAGTTAAACGGATAAGTGAAACAAAAACCAAAGAAAAGTTTTATAAAAAAGTTTTGCTGAATAAAATTGAATGTAATGCGTTTTTTGATATGGGAAGTGATTGTTCTTTGATAACTTTTGATTTAATTAAAAAACATGGCTTTGAAATCTTAGATCTAAAGACCCCAGTTAACTTGATTGGATTCACCATTGGGTCTACGATTCAAGTTTCCAGAGCAATTGCAGTGTCCGTGAAGGTGGATACAGTGGAATTAGATATTACTTTATACGCTATAGAATCGTTGACAGGTTGTGGTGTATTGATAGGTCGTAATTTTACAGAAGACCGTAGTATAATGTATTCTAGAATAGGTGATGTGTTGACTTTCAAAACAGTGGAGACTTTTGATTGTTTACATGTGAATGCGCAAATCAGTACTAATAATGAACATGATGAATTGTTACAGGCGTTACTCAGAAAATATCCTCAAAGTATTTCAGAAAATTTAGATACTTTAGGAAAAACCAATTGTGTAGAACTCGAAATCGAATTAACCTCCAATAAGCCCGTATTTTGTAGACCATATAGAATGTCTCAATCGGAAAGATTAACAACTAGACAAATCACTGATGATCTTTTAAAAAATGGGATTATAAGGCATAGTCATTCGGCTTATGCCAGTCCTGCTATATTAGTAGATAAAGCATCAGGAGAAAAAAGATTATGTATAGACTATAGGTTACTAAATAAGATCACAGTTAAGGAAAAATACCCGATGCCAGTGATCGAGGATCTCATTGATAGATTACAAGGCTGTAAATATTTTACATCATTAGACTTAAAAAGCGGCTATCATCAAATACCAATAAAACAAGAATCAGTACACAAAACTGCATTCATTACACCAGATGGGCATTTTGAATTTTTGAGAATGCCATTTGGTCTGAGTAATGGACCTTCTGTTTTTCAACGTTTGATGAATACAGTTTTGGGTAATTTACGGTTTGGGAACGTTATTTGCTACATGGATGACTTATTAATTTCCACAAAATCATTAGAAGAAAATATAACTTGTCTTGATAAGGTATTAGAAATTTTTCAGAAGAATGGACTTACGATAAACCTTGGCAAATGTACCTTCTTTAAAAATCACATATCATTTCTAGGCTATGAAATTTCTGAGGCAGGTATAAAACCTAACCCAAAAAAAATTAAGGCCATCGAGGAATTTCCCATTCCTAAAACGGTACATCAATTAAGACAATTCCTAGGATTAATAAACTATTTCAGGAAGTTCATTAAAGATTGTGCTATTTTGTGTAGTCCACTTACTCGTTTGTTAAAAAAACATATTACGTGGGAATGGGGCACTGAGCAGGAACACGCTGTACATGTTGTAAAAAAAGCCCTTATTGAAAATGCAGTCTTAAAGATATTCAATCCAAGGTTAGCTGTTCGGTTATACACTGATGCGAGTAGAGATGGCTTAGGTTGTATCCTAGTTCAAGTAACGGATGAGGGTGAAAGACCCGTGCATTTTTATAGCCGGCAAACAAACAACGAGGAAAAGAAATACCACTCTTTTGAGCTCGAGTTATTAGCAGTTGTAACAGGTTTGAAAAAATTTAGGCACTACTTAATCGGAACGTTTTTTCAAATAGTTACGGATTGTAATGCAGTTAGACATGCTCTCAGTAAAAAGGAAATAATACCCAGGATAGGTAGGTGGGTTCTTCGCACGCAAGAGTTTAACTTTGAGATCATACATAGGTCAGGGACACAGATGCAGCATGTCGATGCTTTAAGTCGTAACCCAGTCAGTGATATGTTATCGGTAGACAGTGTATTTAATATAACTGAAAGTGATTGGCTTTTATCAGTGCAACTACAAGACCCTGGTATTTGCAGTATGAAAGAAATATTGTTGTCAGGAGATTCCGAGCGTAACAAAGATATATTTAATCAATATGAACTACTTGGGAATAAAATATATAGGCGAACCGAGTATGGAAGACGCTGGGTAGTACCTAAACACTGTATTTGGCAGATAAT